CAGGTTTTCTTACACCCCTCCCAAAGAAATGGAACAGCATTTCAAATTCCAAACACACACATGCAACCACTTAACCACTTGCTTTTCTTGGTGCTGAACAATAATCATAGTCATCATTAAAGGAGAATAAAAAAAGAAAAAGGAAAATAACTGTTTTGGATTCTTTCAAAAATTGAATATTGTTTTATGTAAGAAACATAACTGTTTTTTCCTCAGTAGTAAATATATTTCACAATATTCTTGTAAAAGGGGGCTGAACTTCCCCCTTTTTTAAAACTCAATCCATCACATTCATTCAAGCAAAATACAAAATATAAATACGTCCAAGTTAGGTTAAAATTGGTTGAGATTTATTGTTGTAAAGATGTGACCAATTTAGTTTCAATTAAGGTGAAGAATCCACTTCCTGGTTTAACGGCAAGAATATGGTCCTGTCACTATTTACCAGTGACATTAGCTGTGACCAATTGTTTATAAATTTTTGGATAAACAAGTTAACTTTGTAAATTAAAATAAAATTTAAAAATAGAGTGCAAGTGGTTACTTGCCCATTCTGGTCAGACTTTGATGTGTACAAAGCAACAGAGACTCTGGAAACCCTGAGAATCAGAGGACAGCTGTCTCAGTCCCTGACTCTCAGGGGAGCAAAATGAATAAGTTGCCAGTTTGGATGAAGAACTTTCACACCATTTTACTCACCTTTTTTTTATATGTGCGCACACACTTCCACAGAGCGAGCTGTCTGACAGAACATAAACACGTATTAGCTGTATCATCTCTCACTGACACTTAATGCTACAGCGTCTGGTGTTAACACGCTACAAGCCACGTTAATGCACTGTGACCACTACGGTTTTAAGTGTCCTCACTTAATGCACATATGGTCTCATTCATGCAGACACATGCAGAAGTGTTTGATGTTGATTGCTTAAAAAGCCCTGAAATAAGTGTCTCAGCCTGAGGGCTTAGGCTTTCCTGAAGGCCCTGTCACAATATAATGTTTTAGACCAGTGGTTCCCAAACTTTTTATCTTATGACCCAAAAATATCCATGGCAAAAAATTGTGACCCCAAATATTACTGGTCTGAGTACACAAACTTTGTTAATAACCCTAAAAACATAGGCTTTTTGACAACCTAAACAGCTTGTACACAAAAACAAAAACTTATTTATACTTTTTGTGTGTTTTTGTAACAGTTATAGGGAAAATATTACATTAGCAATTATTTTACTACCCTTTAAATTGATTTCTAGAGATTATCCAGGTGCTTCATGACCCATCCCAAGCCCAACTTTGGGAACCAAAGTGCACTGGTTCCCACACTTTTCAGCTTTTGACCCACAAAATAACAGTAGCAGAGACCTGTGCCCCCAAATATTTTTGGATGATAAACATTTGAATCAGGTCAACTAAACATGGGCATAGTAACAATATTTTTATACTACATTCATCCATTTTAAATACACTAACCTCACTCCTTTGTACAAACTAAGGCAAAAATGTAATTGATTCAGAAAATCTTTTCAGGACCCCACCTTGATGTTTCGGGACCCCACTTTGGGTCCCAACCCCAACTTTGAGAAACACTGTTTTAGACAACTTCTGTCGACAAATGCAAATAAATAGCATTTAGGCTGGTGTAAGTCAACTACATTAGGTGCACAATTTTAAATAAGTTACTAGTATGCTGATATAATATGTGCTGTTATTAATTTTGTGCATGCACAAAACTTTCAGTGAATGTCGACATGCTCCATAAATTTGTGTTGGAACCAGCTGGGCAATGGTGTGGCGTGTGCTTGACTTCAGGGGCGCCTGCAGGATTTTATTGGAGGGTACGCACAAACCCATCTACCAGACCCACACAAATACAGGTCACATGGGCGCGACGCACGCAGCACACAAAAACGTCAAATTGGCAAGGCCCAGGTCCTGACCGTCTTGCCACAGGAGCGCAATGCGCATCTGTTCTACAGGCCCAAAGCGTGTGCACACATTTGTCCCGCCTTTGACTCGTTACATTACGAAAAGTCAAAGAAAGAAAATTTAAAAAAAATCGACAAGCTATTTAGTGGCTGCAGTTTGCAACATTACATCCTTATTTCTGCCAGCGTCCTTTGAGAGAGAGAGAGAGAGAGAGAGAGAGAGAGAGAGAGAGAGAGAGAGAGAGAGAGAGAG